GAGCTGAAACAGCAGAAAAGCCCCCATCTGTAATATAGCTCAATTTGGCACTTCCGAAAGTCTCGGGGACGGCTGGGGTGATGACGTAATGGGGGCCCGGTATCACGTGATATTTTGACACCCGGTAACTTTGACTCCATAGACCCGATTGACCTCTAACAAGCTTGGTTCGTCTTTATATTCATCATTCTTCTGACACAAGTCACGAGAGTGGGCAAGAGGGAGCAAAAAGAGCCCGAAAACGAGAACCGGGGTTCCCCCAAAATGTGGCCTAGTAACCCTAACCCTAACCCTAAGGTCCATGTCCACACTGCTGCATCCACACATCGACATCGACATCAGCCATCTCAGGGGGCAGATGGGCACCTTCCTGCCATATGCCAAGGCACACCCAGGTACATGTGGGTTGTATGCAGGGCTACAGACAGGAGAAGTGATGGTCCAAGGGATGAGGAGAAGTCTGAGGTGTGAAATTGATGGAGAGCAGTTCGGTCACGTCTCCTCCGAGGTGGTACATTGACCAGAGTGCAACTGCCCCTTGTCAGCACTCAGACTGAAAGATGTGCAAGTAGTAGACAGACTCATACATGCTTGTGCATTGGACACACTGATGTGGACAACAAAACGTGGGTGGAGCAGTGATGCGCCAGTCTCCTCAGTCGGTTTGCATACAGCCCGTGATGATCCACTGTCAGTGGAGGAATACACAAGCCATTCCCTCCCTTGTCTACCAGACGACCACCCGACACACCTTCATATAGCAACAGAGGGACGATCCTCAAAGAGAGTCTGGTCACATGCTACCCATGAGCATATACCCAGTTTACTTTCAGTATCCAGCCATGATGCTGGTTTTGTTGCATCTGTGACAGACAGAAGGTGGGAATGGCATCTGTGCATGTCCAATGTCAGTCAGTGCGTTCCATCAGAGAGTTGGACCTTGAGTCCAGTGACCTGGAGCCTCCTCTCACACTGGTCAAGTTCGACATGGAGAGGGTCTTGTATGCTCCGTCATGGCTACATCCAGTCTCAAGTCCCTGGTGTCTCAAAATCTGAGTCAGTGCAGGATTGAATTGGCAGTGGAAAGGTGAATCAGTGGCTGTTGAGGAGCTGGGACTGAGATCAAGAATCCAGCACCAGGTGTCGAAGGCTAGGCGTAGGACTGCACCATGTAAAGTGGCAATCCTTGCAGTTCAACAAAGTTGATCACAGTCACCCATTCAGGGCTATTACTGAAGTATGAGATTGGACTGGCTTAAGGTGCTGGCCACATGGAGCATCCTCATCCTACCAAGCCGACCCAGTCTTGGCACTTGACCTGCAACGTGGGACCAGCAAGTCTTGCCTGAGAAAAGCAAGACCGTGGTCACAACTTCTGCTTGCTCAGATGCAAGGAGTTGGCACTGCCGAATGGTGGCTCTCAATTGCCAACATGCAGGAACCTGTCGTCGTAAGGGAAGTAAAGAGCAGACCCATCGTCTGTCCTATCTCTGTCAAAGCTGTAGGTACGTTGGTCAGCAATCAATCGTGGGATCTCTCTCAGAATTGGTACCGTGTAGAAGTACAAGTGTTTGTCTGGGACTTGTTCAGGCTGAAGGCATTCGCACCATCATGCAACCCACTGTCCCAATCGATGCTGAATGTGAGAGCACATTCAAGTAGTCCAGCTATTGTGGTAGACGCTGAGGCGTGCAAGGTGACAATTCATCTTCCAAATCAGTCGATGCTTAAGGTGTGGGATACGTTGGGCAATCTTGCGGACTTGATGAAGGCTTGAGTGTGTAGACTGTCAACCATCGTCCAGTCTCGATCGATGCTGAAGCCATGGGGGCCGTCAATGAATTAGATGTGTCCAGACCAATACAGCGGCGTGGAGACCGTCGAATGATCGTCCAGAATCAGGCGAAAGTGGAAGCGTGAGTATCGTCAATCCGTCGTTTAGGATCGATCGATCCGGATCCGAGATCCTCGTATAATCGAACCAGACATACGGATGTGGAGTCGACTGGAGTAATCAACAAACGAACGCAGTAGCCCTCCACTATGACTGAGATGTAGCCCAGGCAGTCGAACATCAGGCTTCCTTGGAATCAACAACCTGAATGTCAAGATCTCACATCCAGCCACGACGACATAGCCATTTAGTCACACAAAAGTACTTCTATATCTCGGCAATGCACCAAACAACTCCTCAAGCTTCAACCACCCCATCAACACCATTGCTGTCAGATACCAGGTTTGGACTCAAAGAGCAGTGTGAAGCTGACCATACATCCTCAACATCTTCCAGCCAAGCGACCAATCAAGCTTCCTGGTTGTCACCGCCTCCAGATCAAACCAGTACTCCTGGGCATTCGGCCTCCAGATGGAATACTCACCGAAATCACTGCTCCGAGTTCAGACAGTCCCTGATTGCGGATGGACTGGGAGGGAAGCTCTAGATTCAATGCCAATGTGAGGGTGTGCATGTGCCTAAGACATCACTGAAATCGCCGGAGTGTGTGCCTGTACAGGTATGGGCGGGCGGGTGACCAGAAGTGGGGAGAACGTGTGGGGATGAAGCTTCCTCTGATGGCGTGGAGAGGAGATTGATTGGTCTGATGCCGCCTGACCGCACATCGGTCAACGAACGAGAAAGATAATGCTCGGAATCGGAAGGTTGAAGTCTTGTTGCATCCCTAGTGCATCCGTGCTCTCATTCCAGATTGTCTCCAGTACACTTGATATCGTTCACAACACCATCCCAGAGACGATGTTGACTGTTGTGGTGCAGCTCGGCATGCAGCTCTCCAGGTGACTCTGCACAGCACTGACACATGTCTGCAGGAGTGACTAGAGCAAGCTACATGCACGCACACAAGACAGCACACAGTGTCTACTAATCTTGTTTCTTTGGCACTTCATTATCCTCATGTCGCCAACCCAGTGTGCAGGGTGGCACAACTTCTCTAGACTGCTCATCCTGCATGTCGACACAACAGATTAGAGGGAACGTCTGGATTGTAAATGTCAGCACAGTGCATCTTCACATCTGCCAAGGTCGCATGAAGACATACAAGGGAAGTGGACATGGTGGGGCTGGATGGCAGAAAGTGTCACTATGGGATGCCGATGCCTGGGAGTACTTTGCATGCAGGTTCACTGGCAGCAGATGCAAAGCCAAGGCCAAGTCCAGGGAAGAGTGTCTCACAAAGCATGCCAAAGAAGATGAAAGGATGCAATGTCTTTGTTCGTTCTGACATGCATGTGTCAATGTGGTCCTGCATCCCTGCTCATGATGGAAGCCAGTGTGGGCAAGGGCGCCAATGATGCCCACAGCTTGAAATTCAGACTTGCCGACCCCATGTAGACAGATCCCCTGTCCCATATATGCTGCTGTGCATCTGTTACAGTATCCTCCAGGTGTGGGTTACAAGTGGAAACGAGAAAGGCCTGGAAGGACATCGGCGGTGTGCAGGGTGGCTGACCTGCTCGACGCAGTCTTCCAGCAGTCGCCACCACCGGCAGCTGTATGGGTCTCGCAGCACCATCAATCCAGATGGGCCGCAGCAGTCACCCCAGAATGTGCGATTCCAGCACACTCCAAGCATCGTCCGAGGCTACATGCAGGGTGCGTGGGCGGTGGGTCCAGCTTGATGGCGTGGCGGCCCGGCGCAAGGCAGGTGATGTGGTAGTGGCCCATGGCGTCGGTGCGGGCGTCCACCCCGGCTGACAGGGCCACCATGGCCCCCGCAAGGCCGGCCTCGTCTGGGCCAGCGAACCCATCGCCGTTTTCGTCCACGAACGCCCGGCCGGCGAGGGTGGCCTCGACGAAGTCGGGTTCACACGCCCCGGGGATCTGCAGCACGGAGGGCGCCACCCTGGCGCTGCCGCGCGCCGCCTCCAAGGTCCCCGCCAGGCTGCCGTAGTCCAGGCC